GGGGGGGGGGCGGCGCTGGCTGGGGGCGGTGGTCGTTTGAGTGTGGATGTGCGAGTGTGTGAGTATGCGTGCGAGCGTGCGGGAGTCAGAGAGTCTCTTGAAAAGTGTGCGGATGTGTGTGTGTGTGTTTGTGTGTGCGCGCGTGCGTGGGTGCGTGCGTGCATGTGTGTGTGTGTGTAAGACGGAGCAAGGTACAGGGATGGAGGGACAAAGGGAAAGAGAGGGAAGGAAAGGCGCAGAGAGTGGAGGGGGTTGCAGCGTGCATGTGTGGTGCCACACACATGCAGAGAGGGCAAGTTGCCATGGGGAGGAGAAGTGCTGGGCGCTGCCAGGCCGCAGCCATGCCAAAGGTCAGAGACCCAACCCGCACCGCCCATGCAAAAGCACCACAGGCCACTTCCTCCTGCACCGGCCCCTCTCACCTCCCACCCTGCTGCGGCCTGCAGGCCAACCCCACGCCTCCATCGACCATCCTCCCGCTGCCCAACAACCAGCCACCTCACTCGCCCTCCCCTCCCCCCCGCCCTCCATGGACCCCCCCCCAGCTCATCCTGGAGGAGCTGGATACCCACCTGCTCGTCTTCTCGCCCTACCTCGCGCTCACCAAGCTGCTGGCCGCCGACCCCCAGCTCGCCGACCTCGGCCAGAACGCCTGGGCCGCGCTCAACGACGCGCACAGGACGGACCTGCCGCTGGTGCACGCGCCGCACGTGCTGGCGCTGGGGTGCGTGTACCTGGCCAGCGTCGTGTGCAGCAGGGACATCCGCGCGTGGCTGCAGACCCTCGACGTGGACCTTAACCAGGCGCGCATTGATTTACTCACAAGTCACACCATTTGAGCTGCGATCAGAGGGTCCCATTGTTCTCGATGCGAAATCAGGGTTTTTGTTGAACACTTGCATCAGGGAATGTTCGGGAGGGCAAAGGGAGGGGTTGGTGGCGGACGAAAGCGGGGGCGTCGCCTGGCGGTGTATTGGAGCGAGTACGTGAGGTGGAGAGGCAGGTGCGCGTGGCAGTGCGCCGCAAGGGCCGGGCGCTTTGTGGGTCGGGCCCAGTTTCTAGCGGGCAGAGGTATATTGCAATCGGCCTTCCCAGCTGCTCTGGCCCAAGCCAAGCGGCATGCTGTTAGGGTTTGAGGAAGGGAGGCCCAGCCTGCCTGTGCCTCGCATCTAGACAGCCAGGTCCTCCTTTAGGCCTCCCCTTCATGCGCACGCGCACAAAATCACACATTCGCACACACGTGCGCGCACGCGCGCACACACACTCTCACTCACTCTCTCGCTTTCTCTCTCTCTCACTCACACATACACACACAAACATACAAACTCACGTACACATGCACAAACCTCAACCTCCCAGGTCTACTCAGTGTGCATGGACCTCGTCTACATGTACGAACACTACCGCACCCCCATCTCGGCAGACGACGCCACGCGGCTGCTGGCCATCGCCCGCCCACCCGCCGCAACGGCAGCGGCGGCAGCGGGCGCCGCGGGCGGCGCTGGGACGAGCGCGGCAGGCGGCGTTGTGGCCGGGGCGGCGGGGGGCGCCGGCTGATGCGGGATTGGTACTGGCCGTACTCATCGCGCGGCGCGGTAGGTTATGTTGCATGATCCCAGCCCCACCTTGCCCACCCACCCAAGCTTGCTCGCAGACCTTGAAAATAGAGCACCGATGCGCCTGCGTCACGTGCCACCTTATTTGGGCGACCTTATAACATGCTTTCCTCCAATGGGCCCATGCACGGCCCCAAACCCCACCCCCTCTTACCTTCCTTCACGGTGTGCGCGTTGCAGCCAACCATGTCGCCCCTGCGCGCCGGCCTGAGCCTTGCCCACCACTCACCCCACCACGCACCCTGGGCTGGCCAACATTGCGTTGTGTCACACGCACTCCTGGCGGCTCACGTGCTGCACGCTGTGGGACGGAAGGTGCTGCCACAGCTGTCCGCCCCTGATCACCAGCCCAGGGTGCCGCACTGCCTGTGCTTCATGACATGAGCCCCCTGCATGGAGCCCCGGCCATCCTCTAGCTTGCGTGCCGCCGACCCGCCTCATGTCGGTGTCTTCTCGCACCCAGGCCTCCTCCCATCCACGGGGCACCGCGCGCGGCCTCCTGCCTTACCCGTGCTGCGCAGCGGCGCAATGGGATGCTGGACAAGCGGGTTGTCGTGAGAGTTTGCGAGTGGCGATCCTCTGCATTATCGCCCTCCATGCATGTGTAATTGCATGCCGAATACCAGCGTGTGTGGTGGTTTATGGTTACACGATCTCGTCCCTGCTGCTGCCCGCTGCGATCGCGCCCACGTTTGAGCTGCTGCCCGATCTCGAAACCCCTTTCTGGCGCGCCGGCGCCGCCGAGAACGACGCCCGCTCCCGCGGTGGCGGCGCGCCGCCCGCTGAGTCCCGCCCGCTGCCGCCCGCCACCGCGCCCGGCCCTGCGGCCCCGGCCCCAGGGCCCCCGCC